TGTGGGGGGAAGGGAATGTGGGAGGTAGAGAAAATAAATGCTTATGAATTGAAAAAATAAAAATAGATTTTAAAATGAAAAGAAAATAGCTTAAATGTACTAAGAGAGAGGAGAAAGGAAAGAGAAAAAGGAAGGAAAGAAAGAAAAGAAGGAAAAGGAAAGGAAGGAAGGAAGGAAGGAAGGAAGGAAGGAAGGAAGGAAGGAAGGAAGGAAGGAAGGAAGGAAGGAAGGAAGGAAGGAAGGAAGGAAGGAAGGAAGGAAGTTATGTTATATGAGAACTTGGGATGTCTTGCTTGGAGAAAGGGGAGGGGAAAAGATGGGGACATACTTCAGTCTTTTCAAGAATTTGAAGATGTGGTACGGAGAAGAGGGGACCCAAAGAGCAAAAATGAGAGCGGTGGGTAGAAGTCCCAAAGAGGCAATTCAGACTTGAATATAAGGCAAGACTAACCCACAATCAATTACAGCTGTTTCCAAGTGGAATGGGCTGTCCTGAGGCCGCAGAAGGTGAGATGAATCATTATAACTGACACTTAGAAGTCTGCAAGACATTTTCTACACATTGTCTCCTTTGAGCCTCAATACAAGTCCATGAGGAAGGTAGAATAAGGTATACTGGTACGTTGCTGCTAAGTCTTATTATCCTCATTTATAAAATGAGGAAACTGAGGCAGATAAAAGATAAATGACTTGCCCAGTGTCACACAGATAGTAAATGTCACAAGCAGGATATGAATCAGGACTTCCTCACTCCAAGTAAGTGCCCTACCAACTGTGCTACCTAGCTACATATATATGGATAGATAGATGGACAGACAGATAGATAGAAAATACCATGTAAATGTGCATTTTTTTTAAAAAAGATAAAAAGGAACTTTAGTGGTGGTTCAGGCTATATATAAGGGATTCGGTAAGCTGTCTGGTTTAATTTATTTTCATCAATTCAACCTACATAGGAGGAAGACTCTCTCATAGATGAGTAACTTGCATGGTTCATCATGGGTCCATATAGAATCCCTTTCCCTGAAGATATTAAACAGCAGGAGATACTAACACACCTGGGATTGTTAGAGGCATCCTTCCTTGAAAGCAGGGGAATAAACTTAGTAGAAATGCATTTCCACCTTTCAATCCTGTGAGTCTGTGACTACACCTTAGGGCAGGTGGGATATGTCGTTTTCCATTTTTGAAAATGATGCTTTCTATTTGCAACTATGCCCAAAGGGCTATAAAAACTGTGCATACCCTTTTATCCAGCAATACCACTTCTGGGTCTGTATCCCAAAGAGATCATAAAAATGGGAAAAGGACCCACATGTACAAAAATATTTACAAACAGCTCTTTCTGTGGTGGCCAAGAATTGAAATTGAGGGGATGCCCATTAATTGGGGAATGGTTGAATGAGTTGTGGTATATGAATGTAATGGAATACTATTGTTCCATAAGAAATGATGAGCAGGTAGATTTCAGAAAAACCTGGAAAGGTTTACATGAACTGATGCTGAGTGAAGTGAGCAGAACCGGGAGAAGATGGTACACAGTAACAGCAACACTGTGTGATGACCAACTGTGATAGACTTAGCTCTTCTCAGCAATGCAATGATCTAAGACAACTCCAAAAGACTAAAGATGGAAAATGCTGTCCACACCCAGAGTAAGAACTATGGAGTCTGAATGCAGACTGAAGCATACCATTTTCTTTTTCTTTTTTTTTCTTTCTTCTGGTTTTTCCCTTTGGTTCTGATTCTTCTTTACAACATGACTAATGTGGAAATATGTTTAATATGATTGTACATGTATATTCTATGTCAGATTACATGCCGTCTTGGGGAAGGGAGAGGGAAGGAAAGAGGGAATTTTAGAACTCAAAATCTTATAAAAATGAAGGGTGAAAACTAAAAATAAATTAATTATTTTTTTAAAATAAAATTATATTTTCTTTTAAACCATTACAATCATTTCCCAAAATGCTGCACCTTCCTCATCAAAGAAAAATCATCAGATTTGCCCATTAAGGCTGGAAGTATATGCCACATTTCAAATCTGTAGTCCCCTACCTTTACTGAGAGGAAGGTGTGTTATGTCTCTGTTCTCCAAACCAAGGTTGTTCATTGCATTTAACCTCATTTCAGCTGCCTTTCACTGTTGTTTTCATCTGCGTTAATGTAAATCGTTGTGTAGCTTATTTCTGGTCCTGCTTACTTCACTCGTCATCATTTCATACAATTTTCTCATGTTGCTCTGAATTCCTCATACTTGTGAGATGGCACAATCAGTTTTCATTTCATTCACATGCCATATTTTTGTCAGCCCTTCTCCAATTGATGGGAACCCACTTTCTTTCCAGTTTGGGGCTCCTCTAAAGAGTAGATATGATACCTTCCTTTCCATCTTTGACCTACTTGGTGCACACAGCCACTAGCAGGATCATCGGGTGAAAGGGTATGAACAGTGTCATGTCTGACCTCCCAATACTCCCAAGCAAGGATCATTTGGTGTATCTGCCAGCAATGTACAGTCAGTTGAGTTTTCCAAAACTGCTCGCCCAACCTAAATGTCTTTTGTTCTGAAGAGTGAGAAGCATAGCTAGATTCTAGGATGAATTCCCCACTGTCCTTTTTAGTCTGCGTTCTATCTGAAAGCAAGTTATGTTCTCTGTCACTGATGCGAAACCAGGACATTTGTCAAGCCCAGGACCATAAAGAGATCTGGGGTGTAAATGGAGAGGTCGGGACCAAAGGTGCTGAGAATAGAATGTCCTTGCTGGAAATGAGCTGCAGCGGAGGGATGGGAATAATTAAGGAGCGCTTCAGATGTTGGCAACTTTTGTTCTGTGGGGTTATTGTTGCATCCTCTTCTTTCTCCCTTCATTTTTCACATCCTCTTCGCCAAATAGCATCAATCAGTGTTTACTCAGCATCCATGAGGAGCCAGGTCTGTTCTGCCCTCTTCCCAGGTTCCATCCTTCATAAATAATGCAGAATAAACAAGGACAGGCTGGTCACGTTTGGTCTGAATCATGGATGGAAAATTCAGAAGCAATGATTTGGTCAGGGTGGATTAGGGGCAGGAGCAGATAGGAGGCCAGTGTTTGCCCTAACAACACACTACATTACTGTAAGTGGCATAGGAACCAGGACTTCCAAAGAGCCATCCCTGGCCTAGACCAGACAGTGAAGCAGCCCCATGCAAAGTGCTCTGTTTTCAGCAGGTCTCCAAAAGCACACTGCTTTGGCTAAAAGCTCCATCCATATGCTTCCCCAGAAGCTCAGGAGGGATCCTGCCTCTCTCAGTGCTGCTGGTACCTTTATAGGGCACTCCCAGCCTCCTAGGGAACACTACACTAGGGGGAGATGCAGGGCATCTTCTTTGACCAAATGGCTTTTTGGTGCCATGTAGACCAAGGCATTCACAGCTGGAACCAATCGCCGCTGGGAGTAGACATGGATAATCCATTTGCCAGTCCAAAAGGTAGCAGACATTGGACCCTGGGAGTGTCACAAGTCATGCACAGGAGCTGATTGCATTAGAAACCTATAAAAATCACACTATTCCTCTGCTAATTTTCTCTGGGGAGAGCTTCCCTAACCCCTAGAAAGCTTTCTGAATAAGCCTGATTTGTCCACGATGAAAATGGAGGTCCTAAATCAGAGGGAGGAAGAAGCAGGTCCCCAAAGGTGCGACAGGGTGTGAATGTGAAAATTCCTTGGGGGGCTGGTTATATGGTAGTAAGTGGAGTCAGGGAGTGGATGGTACAAGAGAAGACTAGGACAGGTAAAACTCCAGTGCACCAGCAGGTGGTTAATAGGTCAGATACAGGGGGCTGGCTATCCAAGCTGTTCTCCAGCCTCCTAGACTCTCCATGTACCATTCAGTTTTAAGACCATGATCACCACCTTGGTAAGGCAGAGGGAATAAACAGTTACTACTCTGCCTGTTCATCCCTTCTCTCAGTGAGCACACCATCCCTCTTCCCTCATAGCAACACCCCCTGATTCCAGCTGCCTGTCATTCAGTTGAGCATTGGTTACCAAAAGCCCAGGCCCACTGGCAGCCTATTAGAATGAGCTGCTCCTGGATGCAAAGAGGCTTGTTTCTGCTGTATAGACCATCAGAAGAAAGTAGGGAGGGGAGAGAGGGTAGTGAGAGGGAAGTAGTCGTATGTCCAGGAATATAAAACAAGACATCAGCGAAGCTTTGGTTTTTCCTAAGAAAGGAAGAAAAGTGGACGTGAGCACAGCAGCATGGCTTAACTGCTCTTCATTATCAATACACAGCTTCCCTCCCCGTAGGGAAGTGATTGAAATCTGTCCTTTAAACACAACCGAGCAGATACCCCTCTGTGAGGCCCAATGCTGCGGCAGAGGTGCAGAGTGACAATTAGCATCCGAGAGGTTTCCCTTTCTGCTCCCAGGGTTCTTCAAACATCATCCATGAAGCCCAAGGTGGAGCTGGTTCATTGAGGACTCCACACGGACCCCCATCACTTTCCTTTCTGCGTGTCAGTTGTTTGAACTCAGAAAGATCAAGAACCAGTGATGAAGCATGCTACCCACCTCCTGACAGAGAGGGGACAGCATCAAGGTGCAGAATGAAGCCCGCATTTTCAGGAACAGTCCATGCCAGAATTTTCTCCTTGACTATGCATATTTATTACAAGAGTTTCAGTTTTGGGTGGGAAATGATGGGGGTAAGGATAGAATAGCCACACATTAACAAAAAAAAAAAAGGTCATTGAAACCCTTTTTAAAGGCACAAAAAACAAGTAGAAGAAAGACCAAAAAGAATCACAGAAGCAAGACAGCTTTGGAAGCTAGGGTTCAATTTAGTGGATATTTTTAAAGGAAAGAAAACTGTACATAATAGATACCCACAGTTTCATGTACAATCCTCTTTTTTCTCTTCTGTGTGTATAGAAATGCCCATTTTATTTGGTGTTTGTTAAGTTCGGAATAAAAATCATTTTCAAAATAATCATTCTCTTTTCCTCCCTCCCAAGGTGTTCTCTTGATCTTGGCACTGACAGAAGAGCTGGTGTTTGCCACCCAGGAACCATCTCCCAGGGAGTCCCTTCAGAGCCCCCAGATGGACACTACCCCTGTTGTTATGGCGACAGTGCCCCCCAGCTCCACCACTATGGTGGTGACAGCTCCCCAGACCAACGGTCTCCCGCTGACAGATGCTGCCCCGACTACTGTGGCAAAGAAGCCCCCCCATTCCAAGAAACACTCCCTCACAAACACCACTCCTGCTACTGTGGTGACGGCAACCCGCCGCCCACCGCGGCCACCAGGTTCTTCGAGGAAGGCTGCTCGCCCTTTCCCACCTGCAGCTGGCAGTGGTGCCAGCCGGAAGGAGATTCACCGGGCACGCAACCAGAGTGCCCCACACCTGGGGCAGACGCGTCCTCTTGGGAAGATCTTTCAGATTTACAAAGGCAACTTCACAGAGCCCACAGAGCCTGGTTCCCAGAGAGACCCCCATCCCTTGACCCCCAGCTCCAAAACTCCAATTTCTAATCACTCCTCTGATTCTCCAAGGCCCCAGGTCACGGCTGCTACCACAGAGCCTGATGGTGGAGTGTGGGCACCACCTATGGACAAAATGAAAGGCCTCAGGCAGGCAGAACAAGAGAGCAGGCCCTCCCAAAGCAGCCACGGAAGGGAGCCCAATGCCCCAGTCATGGCCACCGAGCTCCCTGAGTTCCCCAAGCTCCCCGCTGATCCAGAAACCACAACAGTGCCTTCTCAGCCCCCGCACAGTGACCTGTCACAGGATGTCCCAAGACTCAGCGACTCTGGCTCACCCCAACCCCAGGAACCAGCGTACCTTTGTTTGCCAGCCCTGGGGTCTCTACAGCCCCAGGGGGCTCTGTCCAGGCTGCCTTTAATGTCAGTGTTTCATCCCCGGTGGTGGGGAGCCCTCAGGGAGCTACTTCTACAACCCAGCAGGCCCTGGCCAGCCCTGATCTGCATCCCAGCAGTGCCCCTTCTACCAGGAGCCCTAAACTGCTGTTCAGTACCCTCGCCTCCGAAAGCCCCACCCTGGTGTCAAGCAGCGCCCTTTCTACTAGGAGCCCTGAGCTACTGTCCAGCACCCTCTCCTCCAGGAACCCCAGTCTACTGTCCAGTAACACTGTCTCTGCTCAGAGCCCAACCCTGCTCCCCAGCAGCAGCTTCCCCTCCAAGAGTTCCACCCTGTTCTCCAGCAGCACCTTCCCCCCAAGAGCCCCACCCTGCTCCCCAGCAGCACCTTCCCCCCCAAGAGCCCCACCCTGCTCCCCAGCATCTCCTTCTCCCCGACTAGCCCCACTTTGCTCCCCAGCAACACCCTGCCCCCAAGAGCCCCACTCTACTCCCCAGCAGCACCTTCCCCCCCAAGAGTCCCACTTTGTTCCCCAGAAGCACCCTCCCCCCCAAGAGTCCCACTTTTCTCCCCAGCAGCACCTTCCCCCCAAGAGCCCCACCCTGCTCCCCAGCAGCACCTTCCCCCCCAAGAGCCCCACCTTGTTCTCCAGGAGCCCCCTCCCCTCCGAGAGCCCCGCCCTGCTTCCCAGCAGCACTCTCCCCCCCAAGAGTCCCACTTTACTCCCCAGTGGCACCCTGTCCCCCAGGAGCCCCACTTTGCTCTATAGCATCACCCTTCCCCCAAGGAGCCCCACTTTGCTCTCCAGCAGCACCCTCCCTTCCAAGAGCCCCAACCTGTTCTCCAGGAGCTCCCTCCCTCCCAGGAGCCCCACCCTGCTCCCCAGCATCCCCCTCCCCCCTAGAAGCCCCACATTCCCCCCCAGGAGTCTCACCCCACTCTCCAGCAGTGCCCTTCCTACTGCTGAGGGGCACATGATCACGCCCACAGTTGCCAGCAGAGTACCCAGCCCCCTGTCTACAGTGGGCTCCACTGCTACAGGGAACTTCCTCAACAGACTGGTCCCTGCAGGAACCTGGAAGCCCGGCATGCCAGGGAACATCTCCCATGTCACCGAGGGGGACAAGCCCCAGCACAGAAGCACCATCTGTCTGAGCAAGATGGACATTGTCTGGGTGATCTTGGCCATCAGTGTGCCCATCTCTTCCTGTTGTAAGTGGAGCTACCTTTCTCCCCTTCCCCCCCCGCCAGCTGCTACCTCCCATAGGTCCCTGTCCCCTCCATGATCCCAACTTACAACTGGACCCAAATGGCACCCCCCCAAAGCAGACTGTGTAAATTCCTGGTCTTTAGACAATTACAGCTAGCACAGCTAGGTGGCGCCATGGTGCATAGAGTGCCAAGCCTGAAGCCAGCAAGACTCATCTTCATGAGTTCAAATCTGGCCTCAGACTCTTACTAGCTATGTGACTCTGGGCAAGTCACTTAACCATGTTTGCCTCAGTTTCCTCATTTTTAAGGTCAGCTGAGAAAGGAAATGGCAAACCACTCAGGTATCTTTGCCGAGAAAACCCCAAATGGGGCCATGGAGACTCAGATGTAACTGAAACAACTCGATAACAACAAAAAACAGTAACAAGGGAAGCAGATTACTCTTGCTCTATCTCCTTATTCTCTAAAAGGGCAAAACGGACTACTTCCTCACAATCCCGCCTCTTTGCAATGGTCCATGAGGCATCCCATTCTGGTTTGGCAGAAAGTTCATCCTGATACCGTGCCCAAATCTGCCACTGTAACTCCTTCACCCTGGCATCTTGGTCCTCATTCTGCTCTCTGGAGCTCCACGGTTTTCAGGGTGACTCTCTTATCCACATGAAAGTCCTTCCACTGTTGGAAGGCAGCCACTTCATCCCTTCCCACCCACCCAACTAGTCTTTTTCTCAGGGTTAAATATCCCCTTTGATCATTTCTCCTGCGCTGATCTCCAGACCTTCTCTGTTTTCCTCTAACCAAACTCTGGTTTATTGTTGGCCTCTCAGATGAGGTACCAAGAAGAGGAAGGTGCCAGGAGGACAGAGATAAGATGAAGGTGATTCCTGCCCTCAGGGAGCTTACGAATGGAGGAAGAAGGGGAGGGACTAAGAGCTACACAATAAGGGAGCATCTGGAAGGAGGCAGTGCTCGAGCCTTGTAGCAGGCTGAGGATCCCAAGGCAGGCAGAGGAGAGTACTCCAGGTGTGGGCAGAGAAGCCAGTGAGGAGACCTGGGATTTCCAGGAGAGTCGAAGGAGGGTTTTTTGTATCAGACACAAGGGAAATTGGGAAAGGTTCAAAAAAGAATCAGGCTGCTAATGTTTGTCCAGTTTTTAAAACCTGATGCTTCAGAAGACTCTGTTTATTTGGTGCTGGGGCTCCCAAGCCAGTGAAAGGGTTAGTGGTGTGCTGGATTTGAACTCAGTGGACATGGGTTCAAATCCTGATTCTGCTCCCCACCACCTGGGTGACCTTGAACAAAGCATTTCCCCTCTGTCAGTTCTTAGCATCCTCATCTGTCTGAGGAGGAGTCTGGAAAATTATTTCAAAGGGCCCTTCCAGGGCTAAATCTCATGATTACTAGCTCCAGTGAGTCAAAATTGGGAGGTGTCCCTTGGAATGTCCAGGAAGCCCACCTTGAAAGTCTGGAGATAGGGCAGTTGTTGATAATAAGAAAAAGAATGCTTCATGTGTATCACCCTTGGCAATTCACAAAGGACTTTCAGGCCTTTCTTTTGACCCTTAAACCAGTCCTCAAAGTAAGCAAGGCAGAGGTTGTTCTCCTGTTGGATAGATGAAGAAGAGACAGAAGGTATGAGCCAAAATCCTATCCACCGGGAGGGGACTCTCCCCTGCTCCTATCTGCTCTTTCACCACATTGCCCCCTCTTGATTCCACCATCATCACCATTACTGTCATTGCACATTGATTGATTGATTGATTGATTGATTGATTGATTGATTGATTGGAGAGCCTAGCTAGCTAAAGTAGAAGCAGTCCAACCTGACAGTGGAGTGCAGGGGTCCCCCTCCACCGGTTTATAAAAGCCAAGGGATGCTTCGTCTCTCAGACTCTTTCAATGGCTGTTGGTGACACCTGTTTTCAGACACGCTAACCCTAAACTCTTGGCTGAGCAGCAGGTGTGGTGGAATCTGCTGCCACCCTCAGGACAGATGCCGCTCACAGCTGATTCTCCAGCCCATTGAGCCCAGGACCTCTTTCCTCTGGTGTTCTCCCTGTGCACAGGCAGGTCTTGGATCAGAATAGCAGGTCCAGTGCCCCACCGTAGAAAGATGGCAAGCCCCTCTGCCTGCCTCTACCTCCCCAGAGGTGATCCCAAGGAATGGAGCTATCCCTAAGAAAGACTCACTCCTTGGAAGAAGCTTCTTATGGGAAAGGTGGATTAGCCACTTGAGAGAACAGAAGCTCCCCAATTTGCTTGTGAGAAGATTCCTTTCCCTCTGAGGGGAGTTTGAGGAGGGGAGTAACTGGATCCGCTATATTCATTATCCCCCGGAGATTAAGAAAAAAACAACAGGGATATATAGATATGGACCGGAGCTGTCACTTCAGTGGCATAAGGATCTACCTTGACCAATGTAGGTCAGCACCTTCCCTGCAACATATAATCTTAGCTGGGGCATCTAGGTGGCGCACTGGCCCTGGAATCAGGAGGACCTGAGTTCAAATCTGGCCTCAAACACTTACTACCTGTATGACCCTGGGCAAGGCACTTAACCATGATTGCCCCCCCAAAAAAAAAACTTATTCTTAGCTGCCTATATACACAATAAAGATGTGTCAGGTGGGACTTGAATTCAGGTCTTCCTGGCTCTGAGGCCACCTCTTACCAACAACTAGCTAGGTCTTCTATCTCCAAAGTTGGTGCTCTTTCCATCCTGCAACTGGGATGCTGGGCTGGGAATCAGGAAACCTGGGTCTGCTTCCAGCTGGGTCACAGTGGTATGTGACTTTGGACACGTCTCCTAGCCTCACCTGTCTGGGCCTCTGAATATCCACTTCTGCAAATTGAAGGGGTCAGTGCTGAGGTTCTGGATTTTGTTTTTCTGAAGGAGGGAGGTCTGTGGAATACAGATCCCACCCCTCGCCTCCTGCCTTTGAGTAAGATGGAAACTGCACATCTGTCCCGTTAACAGGCTTTCTGCCATGATAAAGACCATAGTTCTGTTGAAGCATTAGCTGGAACAGGAAATGGGACCTGGGGTAAATAGAGAGTTTGCTTGCCATAACATCCAAAATACCTCTGATACTCGTTTCCTTGTTTGCCTCTCTCCCAGGCTATAATTCTAATAAATAATTTTAGCCAGAGCTGAGGAAAGGACTTTCTTTCCCATTTTCCGGATATCTCCTCTAACTTTCTAGTTATGATTTGTGCTTTGCCAGCCCAAACTCTCTGAACTACTTAGCCATTATGGGGGTCCTTGGCATCTCTGTAAGCTCAGATTTGAGAAGAAGCCAGATGTACTTTTGAAGCATCCTGGGGGGAAAAAAAGCATTAAAGGAGCAATAAGAAAATTAGAGGTATTTTTATTAGAATCAAAGCAGATCAGAATAGAGGGAAGCCTGCCCTGAGAAATACTGCTGTAGGAAGGTGTGATAAAGAAGTGTCGTCTCTTCTTGTTCATTCATTCATTCATTCATCAAACACTTTTTAAGCACTTTCTCTATGCCAAGATGCCTTCTCTATACCAAAATGTAACAAGATAAATACAGATGAGTAAATACCAAATCAATACAAGCTAATTTCTGAGGGTTGGGAGAGGGGGATCAGGAAAGGCCTCAAATGAGAATTAGCACTTGAGCTAAGCCTTGAATAAAACCAGGGATTCTAAGCAATGGGCATGAGGATGATAGATTTAGAATTGGAAAGGATAGGGACAGCTAGGTGGTGCCATTAGTGCATAGAGCACCAGCTCTGGAGTCAGGAGGACCTGAGTTAAAGTATGGCCTCAGATACTTTTTACCTGTATGACCCTAGGCAAGTTACTTCTCCCTGATTGCCTCAAAAAAAAAAAAAAGAATTTCGGGGAACATTAGAGGTAATCTCTTTGTTTTACAGTTGAGGAAACAGACCCAGAGGGTGCCTTGCCCAATCTTGAACAATCAGTAAATAGCAGAGCCAGAATTCGAACCCAAGTCCTCTGACTCCAGCTCCAACACTATTTTTCACAGACTTTCAAGCCTTCTGATACAAACTATCAGAGCTGCCTTTTCCTCCTTCCCCCTTTACCCAACTAACAACTGCGTATCCTGAAACAGTTTGGGACCTTGACTAGTCACTCGGTTTGCTACAGCCTGGTCAATGCCCTAGGCACTTTATTTCCAGGCGGCCTTGCTACCCTGTGTTCAGCTGTTCCCTATCAAAAAATCCCTTGAGAAATCTTAGGCAGGACATTGAAGAACTCATTAGGACTTCTTGTGGGTCCATAGGATTTTATTTCTCTCTAAGCATCTCCCAGATCTCTTGAAGCAGCTTGGACTCAGAGGTTCTTCCAGTGTAGTTTGGACCAGAGCAGTTAGGTCTCCATGCTTATTCTGATCCAAACCTGCCCCTACCGAAGACTGAGAGCAGAGCTATAAATTAGAATGTGACCATTTGAACCTGTTGGTTCACAAGCATTTTGGGTCATCTTTCCAGCCTCCAGCTCACCTAAGGTACAACTTGGACTATGTTGAGTTTCCCCAATAGGCCTAAATAAGATTTGTTGGAGGGAGGGAGGGGGGACATGCCATGAAAGAAAGACCTGTTCTGAAAAACCGCAACCACAAGCCATATATTTCCAACTGAAACAGCCTGGTTGCACCCCCATCTCTATCCAAGGCAATTGGCCCTACTTAATGATGGCTTGATGAGTCCTGGTTAATTAATATTGGCGAATGATCAATGTCCTGGGACATGTGTCACTGGGCAGGATCACCTCTGTTGGGCTTAGACTGGAGATGCTCATCATTTAGCTCCCAAGCACATGTACAAGGACTCCAAAGGATTTTCTACCAGGATTATCAGGGGCCATCGAGTTAGAAGGGACTTTAGAGGCCGTAAAATCTAACACCTTCGTCTATAAGAGTAGGAAACCAAGGCTGAGGCAGGTAAAGCGATTTGCCCAGAGTTGCACAGCTAGTAAATATTTGAGGCAGGATTTTAACTCAGGTCTTCCTGACTCCAAGTCCAGTGCTGTGTGTATGTACTATGGGGCCACTCAGCTTCCCCTAAGTGAGCTCTTCTAACCGTGACCAGATTCTCACCTTCTGTCTCTCTCTGTGTCTTTATAGCGGTCTTGTTGACAGTGTGCTGCATGAGGAGGAAGAAGAAAACATCAAACCCAGAAAACAACCTGAGTTACTGGAACAATGCTATCACCATGGACTACTTCAATAGGCATGCTGTGGAGCTGCCCAGGGAGATCCAGTCCCTGGAAACTTCTGAGGTACTGGGTCCATCTAGGGGAATGGTGATTCAGGTCTGGTCTTGGGAGTGACTCTGGGACACCTGCAATGTTGCATCACAGCATGGAGGTAAAGGACCTTGAGTTCTCAAAGGCCAGGCCAGCCATGTAAGCAAGTGTTCGTCATCCTCTTCAAGCGAGGTTTTGAGTCACATGGTCGGACATGGCCAACATGCTGGCTCTTTTTTTCTTGATTAAACTTCATTGTTACAAGAGAGGATACTACAAAGGAAGGAGATAAGTGTGAATGATGAGGAAGTGACAATAAGATTTCTTTGTAAAACATTACAACAGGCGTGGGTACAGTGGCAAGAAAAGGAAGGAAGGAAGGAAGGAAGGAAGGAAGGAAGGAAGGAAGGAAGGAAGGAAGGAAGGAAGGAAGGAAGGAAGGAAGGAAGGAAGGAAGGAAGGAAGGAAGGAGGGAAAGAAAAAGAGAGAAAAGGAAGGAAGAAAGAGAAGGAAAAGAAAGAAAAAGGAAGAAAGGAGGGAGGGAAAGAAAAAGAGAGAAAAGGAAGGAAGAAAAGAAAGAGAAGGAAAAGAAAGAAAAAGAAGGAAAGAAGGAAGAGAAAGAAAAAGGGAAAAAGGGAACAAAAAAGATAGAAAGTCTGCCAAGTAATGGCCTCACTGTCATCAGAGGGGCAGCCTAGCTAGGTTCAGAACAGCTTTTCACCAGACAGTTAACTGTTTGGTGATGAAGTTTTTTGACCATCATAACTCATAAAGAGAATGCTAAAAAGACAGGTTTGTGCTAAGGATTGGCAGAGGGAGTATCCTTGCCAATGAAGTCCCACATCCTGCAAGTACAGGCGTGCCTTGGAGATATTATGGGTTCCATTCCAGACCACTGCAATTAAGTGAACATTGCAATAAAGTGAGTCACACAAACTTTTTGATTTCCCAGTGCATATAAAAGTTATGTTTACACTATACTATAGTCTATTAAATGTGCAATAGTATTATGCCTTTAAAAAATGGACATGCCTTAATTTTAAAATACTTTACTGCTAAAAAAAAATGCTAGCCACATCTTGCCTTGATGTTGATGGCTACTCGCTGATCAGGGTGGTGGTGGCTAACGGTTGGAGTGGCGGCTGTGGCAATTTCTTAAAATAAGACTCAGAAGTTTGCAGCATGGATTGACCCTTTCACTTGAACATTTAGAGGCCATTGTCAGGTCACTAACTGGCTTAACATCAATATTTTTGTGTCTCAGGGAATAGGGAAGCCTGAGGAGAAGGAGAAAAGCAGTCAGGACACGCACATTTGTCAATTAAGTTCAATATCTTATATGGGTGTGGTTCATGGTGTCCCAAAATAATTACAATAATAACATCAGAGATCACTGTTCACAGATCCCCGTAACAGATATAATAATAATAATGAAAAAGTTTGAAACATTGTGAGAATTACCAAAATTTGATACAGAGACGTGATGTAAGTACATGCTGTTGGGAAAATGGTGCCAGTAGACTTACTCAATTCAGGGTTGCCAGAAACCACAAAAAAAAAAAATCACAATACCTGCTAAGTGCAATAAATCGAGGTATGCCTGTATTGAAATGTGGGGATCAGAGGAAAAGGGTCACTAGGAGAGACCTCAGGAGACCATTAGGTTCCGTTCTCTGCCTCTGGATGGGTCATAACCAAGTTGTGAAAACCTTGTTTAGCTGGTGTGCTACACTGCAAAGCCATGGCCTCAAAACCCATAAGGTGAGTAGGCAAATCATTGGTAGAGCCCTGATGGAATTGTCCATGTGCTTCATCCTACACCAGGGAAGGAAAAAGCAGTGGAAAGGACTAGCTATCCTGGATCTGAATGAGGAATGACTTCCCAAAAGTACTTCCACAAATCTATGCCTGACCTCTGAGCGGGCCAATATTTTTATAAAATACATTAAAAATCGTATGTAATTCAATGTAAGAATATCCTATGTCTAAAAGAAATTAGAGTGAAATTACCATCTGCTTTTAAAAGGGAATGTGCTTTTTGGCCACATTAAGAGAAGTGCAGCATCCAGGGTTATACACGATGACCACTCTCCTCTGCCCTGAGCAGACCACATCTGAAGTCTGGGGCTCCCTCCTGGCCACCACATTTTAGGAAGGACATCGATCAGCTGGAACAGGTCAATAGGAGAGCAGCCAAGACAGTGAAGGTCCTTGAGTTCCTCCTGTGTGAGCACTTGGGGTGGTTAGCCCTGCAGAAGAGAAGAGAAAGTGAAGAAGTTGAAAGTATGCTTTCAACTGTTTGAAGGATTGTGAAGGGAAAAAAAAGAATTACTCTTATTCTGGTTGGTCCCAGAGGACCAAACTAAAAGCAGTGGGTCATTTAGTCAATCAGCAAGTGTTAATTAAGCACCTACTACGTGCTAGGCACTATGCTGAGCATGGGGGATACAAAGAAAGACCAAAGACAGTTCTCACTCTCAAAGAACTCAGTCTAATTGGGGGCAACATTCAAGCAACTGTGTGCAGATAAACAATATACAGGATAAATTGGAAATATTCAATAGGATGAAGGCATTAAAATTGAGTAGAATGTCAACGAGGAAGAACTCACGCACAGGATCCTTCAAAGCCCTCAGCTCACACAGACTAGATCCCATCTCAGGGGTCCTAAAAAGGTTCCTTTTTAAAATCACTCTGCCTTCACCCCAGATTTTACCTGGAAGATCTCCCAATAATTTCATGTCTAGGTTTTCACAAATGGGGCAACAGGAGTCCCTAGTGCCTGCAAGCACCCTTTACAATGCATAGCAGGTATTGGAGAGCCTTCCAATCCCCAAACTCCCAAAATGGGGAGTTATTCACAACTCCCAAGGCAGGTGCTGCCTTCTCCCTTCTAGAAGGCTAAATTCTAGGATCACACTGCCTAGGGAATCATACCCCTCCCCACTTCCTTACACAAGAAGTTGGGGTCCATGAATACTGTTCCTGAATTTCCTTCTCTAGCTAAGTGTGCATGTTTGTGGCTGCTTATACCATGTTCTTCTCCAAGAACTCTGTCCTGGCCCTGGCTGCTACCATCTCCTGGCCTGGGAAAGTCCATCACAGGCCACTGATCTCTGACTTGTGCTTCAAAGTGGAATTAGGCAGAAGGTAGCCAGGGGTTTAAGATCCAGGAACTGCCCTCTCAGGCCTCCTAGACAAGCACATCATGCCTACCACTGGCTTCTGCCATAAGTCACCATTAACTTCCTCTCCTTCCCATCCTCTCTAGAAGAAGAAAGCTGCAAGGGAAAAGATGAGGGAAGGGATAAGTAGGTCTACCAGGTTATCTTTATAATTTGGGCAAGAGGGATGTCCCCTCCCACAAGAACCCATCTTCACAAGAGTTCTAGGCACCAGATTCATCTTGGGGGCAGCCCAATGACTGGACATCAATCAAGACTCCACCCACTAGAAACTAATTATAAGTTGTCTTTATCCACTTAACAAATGCCAATGTCCATAGTCCATATGGGAAGAGTTATGCTTGTATATCCATACTCTACAAAGGGAAAGACACGTTCATGAAATTGATCAGGGAGAAATTATCCAGTCAGCTTCACTCCAAAGACAGATTAAGGCTTGATGGAAGAAGGAACTTCCAGATAATTAGAGCTTCCCCAAAGTGGGCAATGTTACCTCTGTAAAGAGAGGTATTCCTCCTCCCTAGCGGTCTTTAAGACTGAATGACCACTTGTCAGGTTCTGGTAAGGATTAGACCATGTGACCCCTGAGGTCCCATCCAGTTCCGTGATTCTGTGACAGTTCACAAAGTCGATGGACCACGTGAAGATTATCATGAGCTACATACACACACACACACACACACACACACACACACACACACACACACACATACACACATACATACATACACACACACGTACACATATTTTCCTGGTCCAAAGTAAAGGTAACTTATTTGTAGAAAACCTGCCTAGCCTCAATTGAATGTTCTTTTTCAGCATAAACATATATTTCTTTCCTTTCAAAGAGCTCTCATTTTAGAGGTGCAGCCTACATTTAGGGGTGCCACTTACAATTGCACCAATCTTGTACTTCACCTTGTTTATATCCAGATCTTCTTTGTACTCAGAATTATTCACTTACTCTTTCCCATTTAAGCTGCCAATTGTATGGCTTGCCAAAAGCTTCTCCAAAACAGATTTTTATAGTGGCATTTAAACCTGGTATCTTACTCTCCGGCTGTGTTGACGAACCTCCCATCTCGGCACGCTCAGCCCTCCACCAGAAGGGAATTGAGAGAGAAACTAATTGAGGAATGGACGTGGAAAATCAGACTGCCTGAAATATGCTTGGAACTTGGAGTCATTTTTCCTCTTTCCCTCCCTGCTTTCCTCCCTATGCAGTATGCTCTAGTGAATATCCACTTTACCTATGTCTTTATAGTACTAACCCATTCAGGGGTTATTCAGCAGGTGGGGAGGGGCAAAGCAAATATTCTTTACCTGGGTACTGTGGCCCCAGGTGCGTCTTTCTCTCCCCTTAATTCCAAAACAAATCGTTGGGAAAAGTTAACTTAATCTTTGAAAATAAATTATAAGCACTCCTCCTTTTATGTCATTCATCTTTCTCTACCCGCTTTTCTCCCTTCCCCTTTCCTTCACTCTATTCTTTTCTTCTCTCTCTCTGTCTCTTCTCTCCCTTTTCCTTTTTTCTCCTCTCTCCTTTCCTCTACTCCTTCTACTCTTCTCCTTCCCTCCTCTCTGCCCTTCTCCAGTCTCGCTCTCCTCCTTTTCCTCTCCCCTTTCTCCTCACACTCCCTTCTGCCACACATATACCAAATGCATGTCCCCAGTCTGGCCTTAACGAGGAAGCGCCATTGAGATAGGGCCTCTACCTTTTATGTCTTCGGTGTGTCGTCATTAGTGTTTTATCATTGCTCTACCCCTCCACTTCGCACAGTAGTCTGTATGTAGCAGGCTGAATAAATATTGGTTGAATTGTCAACTGCTAGCAGTGATGACAACAGTAATCACAAAGAATGCAAGTTCTATGTCACCTCCATATTGAGGAATCCCAGCAGCAACTCCCCCCCACCACCATCGTCTTGTCCAAAGCCCTACTGGTAGTTTCAGGGATCTCTCTTGCCAGTCTATAGCTTATGTCAGAATTGAGACTAGCCGTGACTCATTAGTAAGTTTCTGGGGGTGGATTTGAATCCAGGGCTTCCTGGCTCAAGTCTAATGATCTCTGCCCACTCTGCTATTCTGCCTCTCTCATGCCCTTTCCTGTCATTTTGTTCCCCTAGGACCAGCTCTCTGAGCCCCGCTCTCCAGCCAACGGAGATTACAGAGGCAGTGGGATTGTGCTTGTCAACCCCTTCTGTCAAGAAACGCTGTTTGTAGGAAATGACCAAGTGTCTGAGATCTAGCCTGCAACAGCCCGCTCGCGTTACAATTCTGTGCTTTCCGTCTCTAAATTATAAATACATATATATTATAAATATAATCTTTGTGTAACCCTGACTTCATGATAAACATTTTCAGCTTTTTTTTTTCCCTAAGAATTGTCAACATCTTTTTTACAAGTGTGGTTGAAAAGAAAACTTTACAGAATGACCTGTGGCTTTCTAAAATAAAGGTATTTCTAAGCAAAATGGTCATGCCAATTGCTTCTCTTGGTATCTGTCCTCAGAGTCATGTGAGGGAAATTATTTTCATAAGACTCTCAAGTCAAGTAAGTTGCCTGACCTCCAGCCTGTGTCTGATTTATCCATACTCCCGATACAGTCAATAGTATTGACATTTATGTGGTCCATAGGGACCTCTCATCTGAACCTGTTCTCACATGCCCCAGAGAGAGAATCAAGATCATTTGGATATAAAGGGTGACCATATTCACAAAGCAGACAGTGGGGAGATGGGCCAGAGGATCACAAAATTAGAGCTGAAATGGACCTTAGAAGTTATCAGTCCCAACTCTGTCATTTTACAGATGAGGAAACTGAGGCCCAGAGTGATTGAATGATTTGCCCAGGGTCTGATAAATAGTCAATGGCAGAGCTATTCAAAGAACCCAGGATCAAGGACTGCAAAATCCAATTCTCATCATACTACATTGGGCTGCCTCCCAGTAACCCCCTCCAAGATATTTCTCTAGGGCAGTTAGCTGTCCAGACTATTCTGTAACTTCAAAGAACCTCCCATTTGCTATGAAGCAATATTCCATCTAAGCTCTTGAAACTTGATCAAGGAAGTATAGTTATGGAAGACTCCTCGTAAGTCAATTCAGCTTATGAGAAACTCAAAAGATACAGCACCAAGAAATGGCATGCTGTAATGAGAAAAGCGGGGGGGAAAGAGGATTTGGAGTCAAAAGACTTGGGTTCAAATCCTGTTCTCCTCAACTTACTGCCAGCATCCCGGATAAGTTACTTCATCTCTCTGGGTCTCAGTTTTCCCCATCTATAAAATAAGGGATTTGCTCTAGTTGGTATTAGGAGCCCTTTCAGCCCTGAATCCAGTGACAATACCATATGCCATAGAACTGTATGATGAAAATGTTTTTGGTTGTCATAAAAACACTTTGTCTTTAACCACTTCTCTCCCATTAGTAACGCTAACTTTTAGATGGGAGGAAATTTGTGTTAGGGTTGCCAGCCAGCTTTCCAAGAAGGGTAAGCCATTTGTTGTGCCCAAAAAAATACTTAGAACAAGTAATCAAATGTTTTGTAGGCTTTTTTAATTAAGGAAAATTACATGGGCACACGGCTACTCCTGAATTCCCCTGAAGCAAGCTACCCTGCAATCTTAAAAAGAATCACATTTCCAAGGCAAATCATTTAGGAGAAAATGCCAAGTAAATTCCTGCTACACACTTTGGAATAAGTCTCCACAATCCCAAATCACCATCCCTCCTGGATTTTCCCAGGAATCCCAAGCTCTTTTCCATCCAGAACCTCTGAATGTTTTAGTCACTGTTCAGTACCCCAACCCTCGCACCACCACCCACACAGGGATCAGGCAAATCAGTGACTCAGGAAGGACTCTTAAGGAAGGGCCACTTTTCTTTCCACTAATTATCTAGATCCTTGGGAAAGAATATTTTGACAACTTCTGATCAACAATGGGGTGGGTAGCTGGACCAGAGAAGTGTCTAAGGTTTCTTCCAAGATTCTGTAACCCAGAAGACTTTGAGTTTAAATTAAGTAAGGCAAGATTAAATTACAAAATTCCAATCCAATATTTATCATTTGATAAATGATTTTTTAAAATAGAATATATTTTGAATATAAGTGTTATTGCAATCTGATGGGGGAATCCAATAGTTATTGCTTCATCTACTTGTGTCATTGCATTAGGCTTTGTACCATGATTTTTTTTTCTCCTTCCTCTTCCATTTCCTTTGAAGAAAAAAATGGCCCTCAATGTGTGTGTCTTCCCTGTTGTATGAGCCTACCTGTGTGAGTTATTTTGTCATCTACTCTGAAGACTTTACTTACCCACTAGGGGAACTGTGGCTTAGGGAACCATTATTACTTGTCTCTGCTGTTGGGTTTTTTTTTTAACCTAAACATAGCATTTGTGTTAGCCTACTGTGCTTAGCATACCAATGTGTGTATATATAGAGATACATATGTAAAGTAAATCTATATATAATATATGTAATCAAAGATGCATATGTTATATATATATATGAACGTATAACCTATTTTTCTTGATCTATAATATTCAGCTACTATGTATATACAAATAAATGTATTTTATTAGCCAGAGGCTTAAGTTCCTAACACCTTTTGCCTTTCTGTTTGTTTTTAAATAACTCATTAACTCATAAATTAACATCAGCATCATGCTCATGACCAACGGATTGCCATGGATGCCAAAGGAGGGATATTCCTGTTTGGGGTAAAAAGTTGGACTACATACCCTCTGATGTCCCCTCTCACTCTAAGAATCTGCGGTTATTGGGTAGGACTTTGTAGGTGGGCTAAGCTTGAATTGTGAAGACTTGATCATTTATCAAAATACAATGAGGTCTTAACAAGTTTCAGCTACCTGCACTTCATTCCAAGTCTTTGAAGATGTTGGCACCAATTAAAGTGTGCCCTCCTTCCACTCCAGATATGAGACATTTCATATGAGGAGATCTTTGGGAAAGAAAAGCACTGAGTTTACTTTCCTTGGGGGAGCAGGGGAGGTAAGCATCTGAAAGTGGTCAGTTCTTAAATTAATGCTAAGTCCCACCTGCCCCAACTTCTTTGGCCTTTGGGGTATTAGAGGAAATGGGGGCAAGAGTGTGGCTTCTCAACCCCCTTCTCAACAAACCTACTGTTTCCTGATACAGTCTTGGGAAGGCATCTTGATAACCCCAATTTATGCTCTGGGGGTTGCAGAAACATCTTCTCTAGGCACCATGAATGGGTAGATTGTCTCATTAAAAATAATAATAACTGTATAGGTGGGAAAGTAGGTAGGCATACAGGTTGGTAACTGCAAATGCTTTCTCATTTTTCCATTTGTTGAACTGAGGATTTCCCCCCATGATTTTAGTATCTTCCCTCCTTCAGATACCTTGAAAGTTAATCTTTCAATACTCTCAAAATTGCTTTCATATAAAGCATGGCTCTCCTGTACATATCCTTGGATTTTTTTCCAAATACTTGGAGAAAAAAAAAAACAATAACCTGGGTCCTTAGCATGGTGGTCCATGCACATAGGTAGCCCAAAAGTTCCTTCTCCTGCTACTCAAATAACACCTTCAGCACCATAGCCAGCGATTTGTCCTCCCAGAGCAAGAAGTATGAAATTCATCCTTAATTCAGTTTAGGGGGAGGTGGTAAAGCCTAGCCAGGGGAATGCTGGGAGGTTCCAAGGGAAATAAAGTGGTGAGATTAGGCTAGGTTAGAAGCTTCCCAGCTGCTTGGGGGGCGGGGTAGGATGCCACCCTCTGGGAGCTTCCCATTTTTCTGATTATGTGCTGAACCTTGTTTCTATGCTACAGAACAATGGATAGTGTGGTCAATACTCCTGCAAATTTTGGTTCCCTGAGACAAAGCTAGGGTCATAGCCTGCCCCCCCCCCCGCCCTACAGCCACATACACACCCTTCCCTCTAGTTATGGCTCTGCTCACTATCAGCATGGTGGTACAATAAAGGAAGCGCTGATCATAAAGTCAGAGGACCTGAGTTCAAATTCCACCCCTGATGCATATTACCTGTATGATCTCGGGCTAGTACTTTAACACACACACACCTCCCCTTGTCCTTGGTTTCCTCATCTATAGAATGAGGCAGTTGAACTGGATGGCTTCTGAGGGCCCTTCCAGCCCTGGAGCCAGAATCCTATGAGTGAGCACTTTGAGTTTTGCCAAAGGCTTTCCTCACAAGTGTTATTATGCCCATTTTATAGACCAGAAAAGTGAGGCTCAAAAAGATTAAATCACACATTCATCATTATGTAGCTATTGAGTATCTTGGGGACAATCTGAACTCAGGTCTCTTGACAACAGGACCAGCATGCTCAATACTGTACCACACTGACTCTCAATATCGAATACACAAATAGGGCCATATGCAGGAGTTTTGTTTTATTAGGATCTTAGAAATAGTTTTGGGGTATGTTAAAATGTAAATAACTAGAGGGGAGGGCACTTCCAGGCAGGGTCCAGGAAAGCTTCAAACTGGAAAACTCTCTCAACCTCCAGCCCTAATCTCACAATTCATCGATATATTTAATCAATATACCTGCCTTCCTCAGTTTGCTCAACTATAAAATGGGGATAATAATAGTACCTACCATCCAGGGTTGTTGTGAGGATCAGATGAGAGAATTTTTATGAAAAACATAGCACAATACCTGGCACATAGTAGGTGCTTAACAAATGTTTGTCTCCTTAGTTTCCAATGTAGGTGTTGAATAATAGATAAAAGGAGGGGGAAAAAGGCACGTGTGAAATGGATAGCTCAAAGTGCTATCAGCACTCCTCTAAACTGGGGGCCCCTGAGGCAAAACTCTGGCCACCCCAGCCTAGTTACAGCTCTGTGACATGTAACACAGAGCAGTGGCTTTGGAACCTCTGTTGACCTTCCTTGGTCTCAGTTTCCTCATCTGTACAATGGAGCAGTTGGATTTGTGGGTGGCTTCTGAGGGCCCTTCCAGCCCCAGTTTCATGATGCTCCCTCTAGCCCTTCTCTCTGCTGAGCACTGGTCCCCAGCACTGGGAGAACCATCGTCCATTTCTAAAAGAACAGTCTCACTAGTGGGCTGGCCTTCTCAGCCCCTACCTCCATCCTGCATTCTGACCAGGGCCAAGGTGGGGAGAATGAGACTGAAAGGAAAGAAGGGAAGGGAATGGACCAACTGGAGCTGAGGCTTATGTGGGAGTAAGAACAGAAAGAAGAGGCAGCCTTGGCCTAAGGTCAACAGGGCCAAATTTGGACTCCAAGCACATCCACACAAAGCCTATCTCTGCCCCTGACCACCTGTGTGACTTTGGGTGAGTTCCATCACCTCTCTGGTCCTCAGTAAAATAAGGGAATTGGGGGAAGTGGGAGGAGCCGGAGTGATTTAGTGGAGCAGCTAGGTGGTGCCATAGTGCATAGTGCTGGGCCTGGAGTCAGCAAGACTCAACTTCCTGAGTTCAAATCCAGCCTCAGACACTTACTGGCTGTGTGACCCTGGGCAAGTCACTTAACCCTGTTTACCTCAGTTTCCTCACCTGTAAAATGTGCTGGAGAAGGAAATGGTGAACCACTCCAGTACCTCTGCCAAGAAAACCCCAAATGGAGTCACAGAGACTCAGACACCATTCAAACAACTGAACAGCAACAAAAACCGGGTTTGGAGTCAGAAGCCCTGGGTTTGAATCCTGGCTCTGCTTATTTACAGCCTTTTTGACTTGTAGCCTTGGCCAACACACAACTTTCTCACTTGTCAGATAAGAGAATGGTTGGGCCGGGAGATCTCAGAGCTTCCTTCTAACTTCCAGCCATAGGATCATAGATTCAGAGCCGTCTAGTGCAGCCTCTTCATCTTACAGATGAGGACCCTGAAGCCTGGGGAAAGGAAGTGACTTGGACAAGGGAGCGCGACGTAGTGGAAAGAGCACAGACTCTTTGGAGTCAGAAGAGCTGGACTCTAACCCAGGCTCTTCCACTTACTAACTCTAGGACTGTGAAGAAGTCGCGTCAGCTCTTTGGGACTCTGTTTCCTCATCTGTAGGAATGAGGGGGTGGGCTCGGATGGCCTCTTCCATCTCCAGATCTCTGGCCCGAGGTGTCAGAGGCAGGGTTTTGAACTTAGCTCCCCTGACTTCAGAGCTAGGGGCCTTGAATGCAGAACTTTGGTTCAGCACATGTGGAAGGGCTTGACAGCCTCTGCAGATGGAAAATAGGCCCATTTTTTTCCATCCAAACCCAAATCCAACCTGTGTGATGTGTCTCCCCAGAGCCAGGGGCCAGCTGTCTGGAAGCATCAGGAGGCACTGAAGTCCTGACATGGCAGACAATGAGTGAATGGACACAACCAGTGCCCGGGGCACGGCCTCATTGTCTAGCTGTGCAGAGGCCCAAGTCCCAGAAGCATCTCCTTTCAGCCGCCCTGAATGAGGAAGCCGGTGGAAGGCCCGGAACAATGGGGCCCGGGACCCTGATCTGACAGCTTTCCAGAATGCCTTGTGTCAGAGGCAACGGGACCAGTGGGTGGAGGCAGAGGGGCAGAAAACAAAGAAACAATACCCCCTCCAACAAACCACTGCCTCATCTGGGCCAGCGGATGACAGAAGGGAGAGGCAGTGCCCGGCAGGCTCCAGTGCCAACATGCCCTTCCCAAGGCGTCGGTCTTCATTCTTGGGGTCCCACCCCTCATCCAGCCTTGAGAGTCCAGGGGCCTCAGGCTGCCGGGTCAGTGTGGTAGGGAATAACCTGAGCAGCCTCCCCAGACCTCCCGGGGTGTATGTGGGGGCAGTGCCAACCGGAGGAGTGAGCAGCCTGGGCACCCGTGTGTCCCGCCGGGCCCTGGGCATCAGCAGCGTCTTTCTGCAGGGTCTGCGGAGCTCGTCCACAGCCCTCGCTCTGAGCCCAGGACTGGACAAGAACAGGGGCGTCTTCTTCGAGTCCCTGAATGGCTGCATGGTAGAATACATTGAGAAGGTCCATGCCTTGGAGCAGGTGAACAGGGAGTTGGAGGAACATCTGAGGGTCTACCTAGAGAAGAAAGCCTCTAGCATCAGCAACTGGGGAGCCCTGCGAGAGACCTGGGAGAGCATCTACCATCAGGTGAGTGGGGGCGGCTGGCGGCCCTTGGAGGCTGAAGACCAAGGCAAGGTCAGAGCCCAAAAGGCTTGGGAAGGGGGGGTGCACCCCACCACCAACACGGTCCTTGGATGTCTGTTACCCGGCACCCCAGGCACTGATACTGCAATGAAGGGAAGGCTAGAGCCAAGCCATCTGGGGAAAGAAAAACACATCCATACACATATGAACTAATCTACATGTATATTTTTAAAAACTAATTTCTCTGATTTTATGCTGTACTGCCTCACCCTCATTCATCTACATTGAGAAGCAGCCTGGTGTGGTGAATAGAGAGCTGGCTTCAGAATCAGGCAGACCTGGGTTCAAATCCAACCTCTGACACCTACTGTCTGGGTGACCTGGGCAAGTCACAACCTCTGCTAAGTTGCAGAGCAGATACTGACCTGCATTGGTACAGAGTTTCCTCTGGGAATTCCTTATACCAGTAAAATGATAGGCCTAGTCTCCACCTCCCCCCTTAAAAAAAATGAATTCCCATAAAGTGCATGGCTGTATCTCCAATCTCCTCCACCCTCCCCCTGCTCTCTCCATCACAACTGTCCTAGACTATTAGAACAGCATCCTAACTGGCCTCTCTTCCTCACCAATCCGTCCTTTACCAGCTCCCCAAATAAATCTTCCTAAGGCACAAGTCTAACTACATTATTCCCTTGCTCAAAATAGTTCAGATGTTGGGAAATACAAAGGCACAAATGAAGTATTCTCTTCCCTCTAGGAGCTGATGGCTCCCCTGCTGGGGAACTGAGCACGTGCAAAGATTAGCCAATAGGAGCCAATTTAAGGAGAATGAGGACATTAGCAAGTGGGGCGGAGGGAAGGACTGGCATGGGATATTGAAAGGGCTAGTAGAGTTTCTGCTCAAACAGCATTATTTTGACAAAACTGGGCCTGTTGGGGAATGGTATCAAAGAAATGAGTTAATTTCATTAACACAAGACAGCATTAGTACACATCTTTTAGGTCAGCAAACATAGGTAGATTTACCTAAATTTCTTCTAAGATGACACTTCTACCTGTAGAAAAGCCCAAAATTCAGCCAATCACTATTCATTTGGGTCTATGTGCCAGTAAGCAGCCAGATTGCTTGATTTTTTTCAGAATAGATTATATATGTATAGACACAACCTTATAATGGGGCTCATCAGTCAGCAAGTATTTATTAGATCTGTAGATCCAGCCCTAATCTCCCTCTTGAATTCCAGTCACCCAGGATCAGCTGCCTATTAAATATCTCCTCCAGGATGCCCCATAGATATGTCTAACTCAACACTTCCAAAAAGGAATTCATTTGATTTGCTCCTAAACCCACCCTTTCTCCAGATTCCTTAAACCCTCCCTATTTTTGGTTGAGAGCACCTCCATCCTCCAAGTCCTCAAACTTCATAACCACTGAGTCAGCTTCCACTCTTCCTTTTCCCTCATCCACATCCACATCATCCCACATCTCTCTTGCATCCACCACCTTCTCTCTGCTCATCAGGTCACTATCCCAATGCTGGTCTTTGCTGCCAGAGGACTACACTGACCTCCCTACTTCCTGTTTCTCCCCTTTCTGATCTATTCTCTGTACCGGTGGCAGACTCAGCCCACACCAACATAGCTCTCCAGTGCAGCCTGAACCAGGTGAAAATGTAAGTGGGAAATGTTTAACAAAATAAATAAAAATACAATTCAACATAGATGTTAATTTGTGATTTTCTAGGTCAATATGCCAATTTCAGAGATCCATTTCTATTTGAGTTTGACACCAATATTCTGCACAACTGTCAAAATAATCTCCCTCCACACCTCTTGACTCCCTGTTGTATATAGGATAGAGTATAAATTCATTAGCCTGACATCCAAAGTCTGGAGCCAACCCACCTCTCCAGACCTATTCGACATTAGTGCCCATCTCGTTCTTCATGTTCCAGCTAAACCAGACTCCTGAGCTGTTCATTTATCTCACTCTGTCTCCCACCTCCAGGCATTTGTAATTTCTAGTGCATACTCCCTCCACATCTTTGCCCATTGAAATGCCTCTCTTTTCTCAATAATCATTCAGTCAACAAGCATTTATTAAGAGCTTCCTAAGAAAAAGACAATGTGCTAAGCGCTAGGGATACAAAGGCAAAAATGTGATGGGGAGCTTGCATTCAAGTACATGGCCGGGTGTTGCCTCTTTGATAAAACTTTCTCTGAATCTTCGCCCAGAAGAAAGTGAGCTCTCTCCCCCTCAGTTTTCTTAAAACCATTTTGCCTGAGTCTCTCCTTTGCCTTATCAAGTCTACCTAATGTTATACTGATTTCTGTTCATATCACATTCCCCCCTCCCCATTATAATTGTGTCATTTTTCATCTTTGTATTTCCGGAAGCTAACGAGGTGCTATGAACATAGTGAAGTTTGAGATGTGGAAAAGAATAAGAATGGAATGAGATGAAATAGTGTGGAAGGGAGGGGAGGGGAATGGATTAGGATGGAATAGGATGGGATGGAATGCAATACAATAGAATATAACAGAATGCAATGGATTGGAATATGAGGGAAGGGAGAAACACATCAAGAAGGATTGCTTCCTGTCCTGTAGTATAATGAATTCAAAATCGAAGTCAATCCCACCTTTAGCAGTATCTTTTGGGGTCTGTTACCTAGAAACAGGGCCAGTGACTGGATAAGCTAAAGGGAGAGTTAGATACAAGTAATATAGATAAAGCCTTTCCACGGTTTGTTCTTTTAACTGAAACATAGTTCTGTCCATTTGTATGTTCAAGGAACTGAGAAGACATTGCAGATGTTTTCCTACCCATCCTCGGCATCTTAACAAAGGATGTTGAGAATGGGTCAGTCCTTCCTTCCTTCTTTCTATTTTTCCTTCCACTCTTCATTCTTTCCTTCCTTCATTTCTTCCTTCCATCCTTCCTTCCTTCTTGCTTTACTTCCTTCCTTATCTCAAATGAGCTATTTGCAAAGAGGTTTGTGAATTTTGAAGTGCTATATCAATGTTAGCTGATATTATTGCTTCTGTCCTTTCTTTCTTGCTCCTTTCTACAGCAGACTAACCTTCCTAATTCTATTTTTCTTAGACTGATATCAAATTCAACCAATTCAACTCAGCCTTTATAAAGTGCCTACTAGTGTTAGGTCCTAGAGACACAAAAATGGAATCCTGCACACAATTCCTGCCCTGAAGGGGGTTTGTTTAACTTCCTCTGAGGGTTGGGAGGGGAACACAGCTAAGTTCAATACAGTGTTCAATGGACGGTACCAAATGTAAACTCTGATCTGCAGGATATCTACTCTACATCTCTTTGATCAAAGGGAAAGATGACCCAGAGGACTGTGGTAGGGAAATACAGGACTGAATTATACATTTGCCATGGCCAACCCACAGGATGGATAGTTGCCTAAATCTCAAAGAAACCAAGTGACTTCCCCAGCTCGAAAGTGCCAGAGGCAAGCTTTATCCTGATGACAAGTCTGGCACTATCTGCTCTCCAAACTGGTGCCCAGGTAATTGAGAGTTGAGATGCTGCATCCTTCTCCTCTGGCCCCCTGGCATCAGCAACACCTACAACTACTGCTGCAATTTCATTCACGTGGGTTTCCTTTTTCCCTTAACACAAGCATTTAATAAGGATGAACTTAGCAAGACTCACTGAACTAGATATGTAGTTTACCGGCTTTCTGCCAGTTTTTAATCCATACAACAGTGTTGAGTCCAAGCCAATTAGAAGGAAATTTGCAAGTTAAATTTCATTATCTGAGCGCATTAAGTGACTTTCCTGAAAATCCCCCATCTCGCCCTTCTGCCAGCTCTCCTGTTAGTGACAGTCATCTACCAAGAGGGGCAGATCTTTCTGGTTTCTTGGTTCAGGGGCAACCCCTGACCAGGAAGGCAAGTTCAGTAAAATGATGATTCACAGACCTTTCTTTTCCTCTTAAAATCAAAGAAAATCATATTCTCTCGTGGGATCCATAGATCATCCAATCACAGACTTCAAGCTGGAAGAGACCTCACAGGCCATTTGTCCAACGCCCTCATCTTGCTGAGAAGGAAATTGGAAGGTTATCATTGTTCAGTCATATCAGTCATATGTGACTCTTCATGATCCCATGTACCATACTGTCTGTGAGGTTTTCTTGGCAAAGATACTGGGGTGGTTTGCCATTTCCTTCTCCCATGAGTTAGGGCAAGCAGAGTTACGTGACTTGCCTAGGGTCACACAGCTAGTTAGTGTCTGAGGCAGGATTTGAATTCAGGTCTTCCTGACTCCAGACCTGATTATCCACTAAGCCAACTAGCTGCGTCTTTATTAAGTACCTACTATGTGCCAAAGCACATGCTTTACAAATATTATCTCATTTGATCCTCAAAACAACCCCGGAAAGCAGGCATTATTTTTGTCTCCATTTTTCAGATGGGGAACCTGAGAGTCACACAGCCAGCAGGTGTCTGTGGTCATATTTGAGCTCAGGTCTTCCTGACTTGAACAGCGGAGGGAAACAGAACTGTGAAGTTTGGATTCAATCAAAGGGCTGCACCTGAGGACCTAGAGGGGCACATGTGACCTCTAGGTAGTAAGTTCCCAATCTCTGCGAGTAGACCCTGCACTCTACTTACTCACTGTAGCGCCACCTAGCTGAAGCACAAGGAAGTTAAGTGATTCGTTCAAGGTCGGTGTCAGAGGAGGGATTTGGACCCAGGTCTACCAACTCTGAAATCAGTGCTTTTTTCTTCCCATAACAGTAGTTGATGACCAACTATCAGAGCAGTATATACCTCTGGAGGTATTTTTGTTGTCAATTTATTGATGCTCTTTGCTTTCTTACATCATTGTAATTTTCCAGTAAATGTGTGGTCCTCCCAAAAGAACTCTCCTTTACAAAAGAAACATTTAAAATAGCCATATCTCAGTAGTGGAGAGACCATTGGGCCTGGAGTCAGGAAGACTCATCTTCGAGTTCAAATCCAGCTTTAGA